AGAGAGAGAGAGAGAGAGAGAGAGGAGAGAGAGAGAGAGAGAGAGAATGAGAAATTTACATAATAATTTGCAACTTAATAAGTTTTATGCAGTTGGTATTAGCACTAACTGCACAATATACGAGTGGCCACATGCAACATTTAGTTTTCATTAATGTTTGTATTTTTGTAAATTAATATAACCACTACATAATTTAATAAATTCATTGTTTAAGTTAATTTAAAGAAGTTTTTTTAAACTTAAAAACACAATTTTAAAAATATTTAAAAAAAAACATTTTATTATCCAAATCATCTTGTATGATTAATATAATGACTTATGTAATATTAATAATTACTTTTATAATTACTACAATATTTGTCAGTAAAAATCTGTTTAAAATAGTAAAAAATATGGCTTATAGTAAATGCCTCTGATGTTTATACAATTTTTAGAATAAACTTGCATTTTATTAATCATCACCACATTTAAGCCATATTACTAATAATTAACAATAATTAAATAATAAAAATAGTATCTGTTATAATATTATAAATTTATAATTTCTATAAGTAATTTATATTCACAATTTTATATGCAAACTATTAAATATTTTTAAAACTTATTAGTTATATCTTAAGATAAAAAATATGTGGTTAGAAATTTTTATCACAATTTTATTAATTAAATTATGGCAAAAATTTAGACCAAAAATATTTGTGACATCAAAGGGCAAAGCCGTGTTAATAACTGGTATGTTATAATTAATACAATATAATGTAAAGCGCTTTAATGGTATAATATAACAATATAATATAACAATACAATATAATGTAACTTTATAATCATAATACTTATATTGAATAACTTGTGATTATGTCAATTGTTTAATTATTACTAATTTTCACAAAATAATAATACCATTATTAATTACCTTAAAGGTTGTGACACAGGCTTTGGTCACAGACTGGCGCTGCGTCTCAATGAACACGGGTTTAGAGTATACGCGACCGTCATATCCGAGTCCAGTGCCGGCGCACAGCAGTTGACCTCTAAGGCACAGTTTGCCGATAAAATGCATGTCATAGGCATGGATGTGACCAAACATGATCAAGTTCAAAAGGCATACGATTACGTAAACTTGCATTTAAACGAGAAAGGCCATGGTGATTACCTGTGGGCTTTAGTCAACAACGCCGGCGTGATGGCTGAGGGCCCCTTAGAGTGGGGATCACCCGAACAGTACGAATTGGTATTTGACGTAAATATGTTTGGACCGATACGAGTCACTCGTACTTTCCTACCCCTCATCCGCAAATCAAAAGGTAATTTGTAGCAATTATATTTCAACAAGAGCAAATTAATCAATTTAATCAACTATTAATTATAATTAGTTTTAAAAATGATAATAATATTGGTATATAAATTAATCTTGTCGGTATTAAAGGTCGCATAGTAAACATGGTGAGCATAATGGGCCGATTCTCAGTCAGCCCATTCGTCTGGTACTGTATGACCAAACACGCAATCATAGCTTTCTCTGACACATTACGCCGCGAAATGCGGTCATTTGGTGTCCGTGTGGTGACTGTAGAGCCGGCGGGCTTTCGCACCGGTCTGGCCGACGAGTCCAACAGGTTATCATCCCTTTGCCGACTTTGGCGCAAAACGGCGCCAGAAATTCAAAACGATTATGGTTTTAATACCGAAGATAACTTGCAAAAGATACTTGATCAAACGAATGACAATTTTAAACCGGGTACTAATCTGGATATTGTGGTCAATGATTTGTGCGATGCCGTACATAATGCTGAGCCCCGGGTTAGGTATACACCCGTCGACGGTATTGTGGCTAAAATGCTTGTGGCGATTATTATGCGTATTCCGTCTGAATGGCTAGATCAAATATTTTGGTTAACTCAAAAATCTGCTAAACCATAATAATTTATTTTACTGACTCTTTGAATTATTTTTAAAAAATTGTTATGTTCATTTATGGTTTATTTTATATTAAATAACAAAATTTCAAATCATTAAAATTAAACTTAAAATATTATGTACTAAAATATAATTTAATTTCATAAGTAAAAATTTATTTGTATGACTAGATAATTTCTATGAATTAATAACATGATGAATAGAAACAATTGTTTATTATTACTAAGCGTTAAATGGCGAGACCAGTTTAATTATAAGTAACTTTAATACAGTACTCATCTCTTTTCAAATTTCAATGTAAAAATGTAAAAATAAAGTATAATAAAGTATCCAATCATTTATATGAGAATTGTTTGTGGGTAGAAAATTATTTTTAGAAAAAGCATGTATTGAATAGTTTATAATTCAAATTTAAATACAAAAGTACGAAGTTCAAAAAATGCCAAGAGTGCACCCGGGGGTTATTATTATTAAAAGAAAGTACATTATGTTAGGAGTTGACTGATATATTTCATATGGCCCAACGACCTCGGGTGTGGCCGTAGTGACCACTTTTATCGGTAAAATTTTGGCAATCAAATCTTTTATTTTATAAATAACTATGTCATATTAAATATCAATGGAAAGGTATTGATGAGTAGAATCGTAATCCGAAGGAATTTCTTAAATCTGACATAATCGACAAAAGTTATATTAAAATTAAGAAATTTACTATCAGTTATGTACGTTTTTTATAATGAATAACGTAATTACTGAACATCATATATATGAATTTAAATTATGCTTACAATGATAATTAATTTAGGAAATTAAAACAAATATAAAAATTTTAATATAATTTTTTTTGGCATTTTACCAATTAACATTGAACATTGTTCTTTGTTTGCAATATAAAACAACTTGTTATCCTAACAAATGTTTTTATTTAATTGTTGTCTACTCTGTTACTGGGAATAGGAATAATTAAATGTTGGTAATTACATTGAATTACTATATTTTAAAAATTAGTAAGAAATTTAAGCACCAATCTATGTAAATGTACACCTATGTCTCATACTTTCAATATTAATTAAAGTCTACCATATGCCGAAATGCAAAATGTTATATTTCATATTATATTTAAAATTGCAATTATAAAGAATCCTTGAATCCTTTATATAATCATTAATGTTTATATTTTATGCCATTTTATTTTAAAAATTAAACATAATTAGCTGCAAATTTTTATTTACTAGTTATATTATAAATATTATTAATCAAAGTATACTTTGTAATTTAGGTTTAACCATAATGATTGATTTAATAAGGTAAATACTCTCTTTCCAAATAATACAAACTAAATAATAATTAATCATGTACTCAATAGCATCGTAACATTTATTAAAAGCATTGGTCTAACCGGTATAATAATAGCCCTGGTAGTTTACTACATAGCACGTTTCTACACAAATCGCTACAATTATCCACCCGGACCTTTTCCGTTACCATTAATTGGAAATGTACTTGGTGAGCATAAACTTAATTTTACATCATTAACTACACATTTATACATAGATTGTATCATTGCACTTAATATTTACTTTGATAACACATTACAGAATTTCGCAAATACAAACGCCATTGGTCGGAGGAGATTGTTCATTTTAAAAACAAATATGGCCCAGTGTTTACACTATGGATCGGACCCCTGCCATTTGTGATAATCTGCGACCTCGATATTGCCCGCGTGTCATTTAATAAAGTTGAATTTTCTGGACGCCCAGCGATGCCACTGGGTAATAATTTGTATTTATTAATTTAACACACCAAGTGTATTCTGTGTAACTTATGCAGTTAAGTAACTAAAATTTATTTATTTAATGTAGCTAACATATTCTGCAATGAAAAGCACAAGGATGTTTTACTCAACGATTATGGTAAATGTTGGGAAAGTCTACGGCGCGTGGCGCATAAAGCTGTCCGGTAATATATATAATTATAATTATAAAGCTCGGTTATAATATAAGCATGTGTTTTAGCAATTTTGCCGTAGCCGTTGAAGTGATAATAATGTGTCTTTGCATATATACACACATTTATCTCCAGTAATAGTATATACCTATATGTCCAAAAGATTGAAAAAAGATTGAATTCCCAATGTATTGTCTATGGGAGCATACGGGCAAAGCCTACCCTTTTTGGACATCTAGGTATATACAATAGTTTTAAGTCATGTAATTATATTGTGGGGGAAATAGACAATTTTCGAGACCCATATATCATGAACATTATCAATGATAAATCTGTGTATATTCAATGTTACAATATTACTATGACAAGTTAAAATAATGCTATTAAATGTCCTTATTTTAGCATTATTATTTATGGTATTTATCAAATATAAAATAACATGATAACATTACAAACATATGCAGAAATTACGCCAAAACACAGGCGTTGTCTGAAGTGGTGGCCAATAATGTGCGCCAAATGGTTGATAGCATTATCACTACTGAAGGCATCGGTAAACCATTTCCAGCCAAACTCTACGCATACAATCTGTTCGCAAATATCTTGGGCTCAGTTGTATTTAGCGAAAAGTAAATATAAAACTTATATTTATAAAAATTAATTGCTTAAAATTATTACAATATGTAAAATTGTATCTGTATTTAGGTTTGACATTGAACAACCAGAGTTAAAAAAGTTTAAATATATCACCACCGACTTTCAAACTGACCTAGGCAGCTCGATGTTTGTATACGAGTTTATACCGATTGCCCGGTATTTTATGGCCAACCCTTTGGCTAAATATGAACAATACTTCAACGAAATGATGAATTATACGCGAAATATATACCAAAAACACAGCAAAACATATGACAGCGAGAATTTGCGTGACTTTTGTGATATACTTATCGCCGCTAAACACGAGGCCATTGCCGACGACAAACAATCGGCACAATATTTCACCGATGATAACCTGTTGGCGACATTAAGCGACCTGTTTATAGGTATTTCATTTATTAAACTGGGATTTATATAAATATAATTACAATTTTATGTTTGACAAAACTATAGTTAGGTTAGCATTATTTTATAAAGTTAATACTTTATAAAATATTGATATATAAGTTTTTTATACTAAAAGTTTGAAACTAAATTTATTACAAATTAATTAAATTAAACATATTAAAAATATAAAATACTATAGTAAAATACTACAATATTACAGCTGGTGTGGAGACGTCGCAAAGTACATTTATGTGGATAATGCTATTTATGGCATACTATCCGGATTACCAGGATAAATTGCACAATGAGATCAGCCATGAGATCGGCGATCGGGTGCCTGTGATTGAGGACAAGTCTCTGCTTAACTATACGCTGGCGTTTGTATCCGAGATATTACGGTACAAAAATCCGGCGCCGATGGGTGTCCTTCACAAAGCTCTGGTCGACAGTAAATTGGGTTTGAATTTTGAATATTTATTTCTATTGTTTTGTAACTCTATACTAAATTAAATAATAATTAACATTATATCTGATAATAATTATGAAACACATAATCTTATTAAGTAATGTATCAAACTATTTAAAGTATGATGTTAAAGTCAAAAAAATTATTACACATAAATACAGATTGCAATGTACTGGGCAGTTTGTAATAGTCTATTACGGATAGTTTATTATTAGTTTAAATGTTTGTATCATTAAATTAGGTGAACATCCGGTGCCAGAAGGAACCAGCTTGTTGGTTCATCAGTCCTGGATCATGATGGATCCAAAACATTGGTCTAATCCGGACAAATTTCAACCAGAACGCTTTCTCGACGAGCATGGTCAATATTTGCAAACAAAATTTGCCGCTTATATGCCGTTTAGTTGCGGACGCCGTATATGTCCGGGAGAGACACTGGCTATAAATGATTTGTTTTTAATATTGGTCAATTTTTTGCAACTCACTAAGGAATATCGTATTGAGTTGCATAGTGAGCATGGTGAGAATACGCGGGATGTGATTGAGCCTGATTTAAGTACACAAGCCCTGTATTTTCCCAAACCATATAATATTATTTTCAAAAGGAAATGAAAAATATGGAATTTTTGCCTAAAAATACAAAACATAAACTAGAAACTTTTAATGTTTTAAAATACATTATTTTTAATATAATTATTATTATATAAAACTACTATTTATATAAACCTTATAAAAATTAATATTGATATTTGTCGCGTATTGAATAATTAATATAATTTAATTATTGTTAAATAAACTGTAAACTTATGTTTTAAACTGTTTTGTATTATACCTGATAAGGCTATGAATATAATAATGGGCTATAAGGATGGACACCATAAATAGTTTATTATTCTTTGAATGATTTAAAACTCTTTTGCAAATAAAGGGCCGGTCATTATATCTTAGCCATGTTAAAATCGTTATTACCTGAATACTATAATAAATAATTAAATTCTGTAAAAAGCATATAATACTTCAATAAACGCTAGTTTAATATATTTTATTGTATTTTTGATAATTATCACGTGAAATAAATAAAAAAACATTGGGCAAACACAAATAAATATAGGTATATTAATAACTTATTGAGAATAAATTCATGAAAGTTTCACTTTAAGCATTAATGCTAAAAGGCCAAGTAGTTGAATGACGATGAAATGGCCTAGGAGAGTATAACAATCAATTTGATAATTTATAAAATCACTTATAAATACAGTATAATAATACACTAACCGATTAACCAGTTGCAATTTCTCCACATATCATCATCGTCTAAACGATACTTATATAGTACTAGATTTAATTGCCCGTCAGAGCACCGGTCATAGCCATAAATAGCGATTATTGTGGCATAAAATGCGAACCGAATGTGAGACAAGTAACTTATTTTACGGGTAAACCAATCGGCAGTCCTGAGAGGGATAGCAAAACCATTTAACAAATACATCATCATATATGAGCCCAACGCTATTGTAACGCCCAGACGTATGTTGTGGGCAAATATTATGCCCATTAGGCCACTGATACTATTGGCGATACACATTACTCCCAACTAGGGCAAATTAAATAATTTAATGCACAATAATTAAATTAAATAATATATGATTGTCTCTCTCTCTCTCTCTCTCTCTCTCTCTCTCTCTCT